TGAGCCGTATGGTTTAGGTTTTTAGAAATTTTAGTGAAATAGATATATCGAAATTGAGCATATTTGAGGAGATTCATCAATTGCAACAAGGATCTGGTTCAAAATCTTTGGTTTATAATAATAAACTATGCTCTCAAACCTGAAACCTCGGACTGGTACTGTTACTATTGCAGAGTTCAGTGAAGAGTCTTCTGGTTCAGAAGTGGATGCAATCGACATCAAGAAGAAATTTCAACTTCTCTATGACTACAACGTATTGCTTAGGGAAAAACTTATACACACTCAGTCTTTGTTCAATGCTTTGGGTGCCAAAGCATCATCATCTTCAACCATGGAACACGGTGCCTAGAACCATGAGGTTGCCTATTCTTTGTATTCTCTTTGTAACCTCCACATTTATAGAACAGAAGGAATGACTAATGTTTGTTGTATCTCTGTGAATATACCAAATTGCTAGTATAGCAAATTTATGCATACGATTCTAAAAGATTGAAACCAGAGAAATCGAGCAAGAACTAGAAGAAAAAGCTAAGCAATAGATATTATCGTCATGGAATCGAACCAGATGGGTTTCATCAGTCAAGGTTTACATTATTGAAAGTCTCAAAAACATGCTTAATTAGATAAAAAGAGAAGATAAACATGATTATACCAAAAAGGCAAAATGACTTTGGTAAATCTCTTGAGACACATGATAGGGATTAAAGGAACCTAACCTCGATAGATTCATGGGTTCAAGTTTAACCGCTTGAGTTAACAGAATTCCAGAGCTGGATCCACTTAACCATCGCATCAGCAGCTTGTGTGAATGCAGGATCATCTGAACCCAACTGCTCTTTCACCGCTTTAGCAAGCTCAATCACACAATCTTCAACTTTAAGCGCACTCTCGGGCAATTTCAATGACTCGAAAAAGGGAACACTTTTCTCCATCAGCTTCATTCCTTCCCATTTCTTCCTCAAGCTCTCCACTGCATCTCCTCTCTCGTTTCTCCACACATAAGGCTTACCAGTTTTCACACCATAACCCAAATGATCAGAGATATGTTTCAGACACATCCCGCACCAAACATCTTCAAGTGTTTCCCATCTCACTTTCCCTTCTCCAGCCAATCTAAGTGCAGGCACCAAAGCTGGACCCACCAATTCACGGTTAAATGCGATGTTGATTCCGCTGATGGGTAGCATAGCCTTGGCTGGAACAGTCATAACCGCATCAACATAAGAAGTGTTCCTTTGCTCTGTCTTGAGAGCTTGTGTTGGAGCATCAAGATCAGCTAGATTCAGCCAAAGTCCACAAGATGCAGCACAAGGGACACCACTTCTGAGGCTGAAAGGGTATCCACGGACAAAATCCGCTCCCTCGCAATAAGGATCATAAAGGGTATTGAAGAAGAGAGGTGTGGCTGGTGTTTCGAGGTTGATCACGTGCTGAGAAACAGCATCCACTAGGAACCCCTGGGGATCTTTAGCCGGGACACAATCATCATCAATTGAGACAATGTACTTCTTTTTAGATACAAGATAACCGAAATATCTGCAAGAATAGCCAGAGAACATCGTGGAATTGGTTGATCCCAAAACCTTTTCCATGTCAGTCTTTGTGTAGACATCTACATCAAAGCCTTCTGGTATGTTGAGTTCCTCCTTGAGCTCAGGATCCTTGACAACAATCAGATGAAATCCGGAGAAGAAGGTTCTCCAGCTGCTCAAGAATTGCGTCAGGTCAGCATTAAGAGCCCCAATGACAATGTCGACCTCATTCTTGTTTATCTCGGCCACCGACATTTTTGATCTTCTAACTTTAAAGCTTCAAGTATTCAAATCTCCAAGGTAATCTTCAAAGGCTTTCTTCTGCAGATACATCAAAACTTGAACTTTGTTAGAGAACCTCAAAACAACATCAAAAAGGGACAACCTTTCCAAATTTTAAGCTCGAAGCAAACTAGGAGTCAGTAGTAGGAAGATCAATCTGTACCAATTTTTTACAGGATCAAATATCAAAACAAATTAAAGGGAAAAACATCAGCTTTTTAAGATAAAATCTCATCAGTGATGATTAGAGAAATAGAATCTAATCCAAAGACCCGATCCCCATAGCCTAAAACCTAATCAAGATCCACTTCTCAGTCAACTTAAGATCGCATGAATAGTACAGTTCAGAAACTGGAAACCGATAAAATCTACTAAGATCAGACTATCAACGGAACAACAAAATCATCTCTTCTATGCCCACACAGAACAAGAAAGCTCACATTTTGTTGAAATTAAGCGATACCAAGAAGCGATAAACGAATTGGGAGATTAAACAAAGCAATACCCAGAAAAAGTTACAGCAGATCTGAGAGATGGACCTGAGACTAAAGCTTTTGAGAGAATGCAGCAGATCGGAGGTTCTTTTTTTCTTCTTGTTTGTTACAGAGAAATAAACAAAAATCGTGAGAGTTATGTAGAATTGGTCTCGCGCATTTGCTGCTTCGTCCCGCAATTCCCTCTTCGATCGTGCGTTAAAGTGTCAAAATATCAACCAAAACCGAATCTAACCGATCGCTTTGATTTTGCGGTTTTATGATTTTATCAGATTTTCGGTTTGGTTTTGCACAAAAACATCAAAATACTCGATACTAAACCAAATCATATATGCTTCTGTTGAATCTAACCATTTAGTCCAATTCGGTCCAAACTTTTAAATAACCTAAAGTGATGTTAATCAACTAAACCACATCAAACCGAACAAAATTCTAAACCGGAAGCCAGATCAAGATCATTTATTATACTCAAATGTCAACAACCCGTATCTAACCTCAAATACCAAACCTAACAAAAATTCGAGTTCAATTTCAACTACATCAAAACCCGGTTTAAGTTTAAGTATCACCTCATTTTTTGTTTCCATTGAAGAAGACGAGTCTCTAACTTAGACAGAGGAACTTAAACATTACAAGTTACACATCAAAACAAGAAAGAAGAAAAGGTTATTAAAGAAAAGACTAGTGAAAGGCTTCTTCATCAAATGGGCTGTGTGCATTTCTTCTGAGAATGTCCAAGCAAATGACACCTTCCACATTGCACAATCCTCTTCGGTCTCTTCAAATTCTCAACTCGAACCACTTTCTTCTTCGGTCTACCCGGCGGTCTCCTCGTTTTCGGCGGCCATATCCTCAAGCTTCCTCCTCCTCCAAGCTCTTCTCCTACTTCCTTCCACAAGCTCCTATCCGGTATCTCCCCAATCATCTGCGAATACGTCTGCTGATAGCTCGACACTGTGAAACATGGTTCCGCAAACAAACGCACGTCTCTACCGCACGAGATCAACGCCGCAGCCGCGTGAGCGCACGGTAATCCATATAGCTGCCAGCGTCTACACGAGCAAACACGTGTCCGTATATCCACGATGTTGGTTCTCTCTGTAGAGACGATCTCGAACTCGACCTCGTTCGCTCGCAGCACTTGGTAACACCGCGCATCCGAAACCACTTCTGTAATCCGTCTCTCTGCCGAAGGTACGAGCAACGTGTTCCATCTCATGCTCATATCACGGCGGGCGTCGAACCAAGACGATAACTGATGGCGGATGTGTTCCATCATCTGTATGATGGGGAGCTCATGGCATTCGAGAGCCCAGTTGTATAATACCTCCGTAATCCCTAAACCGAAATGTCCATATCGCACGCCTTGGAAATACGCAACAGCCCAGAGATACGGAGGAAAGAGTTCGAACCACGAAACAACATCTTGCGATATCTCAGCCATTTCGTTTATCTTCGATTCGAATTCCGCCGCTGTAAGCGCGTAAACCGCATTCCAGAATATATTAACTAGCTTTGTGTTCTTGAACGTATCCCGGAAATTGTCGCTAACATAACGGAGACAAAACCCATGGAAAGCAGTAGGGAAATGAGTTTCCACAGCTTCCACGATCCCGCTCTGTCTCTCCGACAGTATCGTGAGTCTCGGCATGCTATCAGTATTCATCCCGAGAAGCTTCCTCAGCTCCGAGAGAAACCATGACCAGTTTTCATCGCTTTCATTATCGACAATAGCAATCGCTAATGGAAACAAACCGTCATCAGCATCAACAGCCGCAGCGCAGAGGATCGCACCCAAGTACTTCCCTTTAAGGTGTGCTCTATCCAATTCAAGAAGAGGTCTACAAGCACTGAAAAACCCAGAGATACACGCTCGATACGCAATAAACAACCGTTGGAAACAATTCTCTGGTCCCGCAGCAGAAACAGAAGCAAAACTCCCAGGATTAACTAGTTTTATCTGCTCACAATAGGCAGGAAGAAACCGATACCCTTCCTCATAAGTCCCGTGAAGCGCAGCCATACTCCGCTCTTTCCCACGCCAAGCTTGCATATAAGAAACAGCAACCCCGTGCTCATCACGTATATCCTGCAATATCTCCTTTGGTTTATACTGCGGATTATCTCTAATCCGCGCCTCCACCGATCTAGCAACCCAACCAACCGATGCTTGCTGATGATGGAGATCACGGACACCTTCACAAGTATGCTCACCATTAAGCGTCCTAATCGAAAATGTCGAAAGACCAGGACATTTAGCGGCATGGACACGCCACGGACAACCTTCTTTTGAGCATTTAGCTATGAATCGACTACGGTCTGATTTCACAATACGGAGATCGAAATGCAAAGCTATAGCCAAATCTTTCAAAGTTCTTCTGCAAGTTTCGACATTGGGAAACTGTTTGCCGACTTCTAAAGTATGTTCAGCAGCCAAAATATCGACGGAATCTAGAGTAACTAAAGCTCCATCAGCCATTAAGCATTGCATCTGAAAATAGAGTAACTAAAG